AGACGGAAGAGTTTATTTGGGCTTACGGCTCCAGAGGACTAAGAGTCCATCATGGCAGGGAGGGAGGGCATGCAGCAGGTAGGCCTTGCGCTCAGAAAAGGAAACAGAGATCACATCCTCAACTACATGCATGAAGAGAGCGAATCAGAAGGCAAAGCTATATTCTTTCAAAGCCTGGTCCAAATGACACACTTCCTCCAGCTGAGCCACACCTCCTAAGCCTCCTCGAACAGCAACACCACTGGGGAGCATGCGTTTAAACCACAGATGTCTTTTTTTAAGTATTTATTTCATGTACATTGGTGTTGTGGCTGCACGTATGACTGTGTGAGGGTGTCAGATCCCCAGGACCTGGAGTTACGGACGGCTGTGGGCTGCCATGTGGGTGCTGGGAATTGAACCCAGGTTCTCTGGAAGACTGTGAGCGCTGAGCCACAGTTGCCGCCATGGATGTCTTGATTGCTCTCCACGTTATTTTTGTCACAGTTGTTTTTCTTCTTTTTAAATGTGTGTGACCGTGCATGGGCGTCTCTCTGTCTCTGTCTCTCTGTGTATGTGTGTACAACTTTTGGGAGGAAGTGCTTTCCTTCCTTCTACCATGTGAGCTCTGGGGATTGAACTCAGGCCTGCTATTTTAGTCTCATTTAACTGGGAGGTTTCCACTGGGCCAGATTAGCTGTGCACTGACCCCCAGGGGTCCTCTTGTCTCCTGCCCCCAGTGCTAGTGGGTTCTGGGAACAGAGCTCAGGTCCTCACACTTGGATGCCAGGCACCTGAGCTATCTGTCCTTCCAGCCGGGACTCTCCTTAAGACTTGGTCAATCCTTTCCTGTGTGGATTCAGTGGTCAAGGACAGAAACCTTGGGCTGAAGTGAGGCTGGGTTCTCGTCACGAATAAGCTTGATGAGAGGCCCCAGTCAGTGACAAGGGCGGCTCCTTCTGCCAGGTTCTGCAGGCAGAAGTCCCTGGGGTTCTGCAGGGTGGCTGGGGTTCTTTGTGGCTCTTTGCCCTCTCCTAAAGGAAACCAGTGGGGAGGACCAATGCTCAGCGTCAATGGACCCTGTGTGTTGTTTGGGTTCAAGAGGGTTAAATGATTGATTGGGGCGATGGGACGTGGCTTGTGAGTCTTTTAAGGGCTCAGTGCGTGTCTGCCATGCGGGTGTGAGGGCCTGAGTTGTCAAGACTGGACACTTAGTATCTGTCATGCTAGCACTTCTGGGACATGGACATTGGAAAGAGGAGAGTTCCCCCACACACATGCATGGTGGCATTCCTGCCCCTTCAGTCACACATACACAATATCAGCAGTTTGCCGAGAACCAGAGGCACAGAAGTTAGTGCTTGGGTCTGAAGGCATTTGTGGAACAAGGCTGTATTAGATAACAATCCTGCATCTGGGTTGTGCTTGGGGGAAATGGCAGTTGGGCCGCAGACTGTAGTGGAATGCCGTTTCAGTAGGCCAAGGTGCAAGCGTTTAGGGCTAGAGGAGGCTGATATTTCAGAAAGTGTGAGTGTGCGTGTGTGCCTGTATGTAGGAGATGGACGATGGGACACTGAGCAAACATGTGATAAGACATTGCCTCACTGAACTCTTGGGTTTGCTGTGGCTCCGCTGTAACTGTGGTGTCCCCTCTGGCTCTATGTATGGAGTGACCCACAGTGGGAAGTAGTAAGAGGGTGGGGACTCCCGCTGGCTTCGTGACAAGGGACACCTGGGGGTCACAGGCCAGAGTCCCAGGCTTTATTAGAAGACATATACACATGTGCTTTTATTTTATGCATGTGTGTTGTGTGCACCTGTGTGTGTGTGTGTCTGTGCACAGGCGCGCATGTGTGCGCTTGCTTGCTTGGGGAGTCAAGAAGGTCATCCCAGCTGTCTGTCATTCCTCAGGTGCCATCCTTGTTCTGAGCCAGGATCTCTCAGTGGACTCGAACTCACCAAGTAGGCCAGGCTGGCTCTGTGTCTCCCTCAGCAGTGGGATGTCAAGCTGCTTCCATGTCTGGCTTGTGTTTGGATGTAGGTTCTGCAGGTTCTCCAGATCCTTCCAAATACAAGGCGAGCAGTAGCAACCGAACCAGGCTTTCAAGTTCTAGCTGGGGTTTCACCATGCAGCTCAGGCTGGCTTAGAACCTGTCATCTTCCTGCCTGTACATCCTGAGGGTTGGGAGACCAGGTAGGAAACGGGACTGCTTCATGCTGGGCTCACGTGTCTCTCGTCTCCTGTGTCAGGCGGGCGGAAGGGCTCTGCCAGCAAGGCTACCGCAAGCAGCCCCCCTAGTTTGGATCAAAACTGGGGGCCACACCTGGCAAACCTTTGTCATGGGGTTGAGTTACTGGCAACAGACAAGGAACTAACAGAGCCGATGGTCTCTTAGAAAGTTCTTGTGCGTGCGCTCTCTCTTCTCTCTCGTTTTTTGGAGACAGGTTTTCTCTGTGAAACAGTCCTGGCTGTCCTGGAACTCCCTCTGTAGACCAGGCTGGCCTCGAACTCACAGACATCCTCCTGCCTCTGCCTCCCGAGTGCTGGGGTTAGAAGCGTGAGCCACCAACGCCCAGCCAGTTCTTTCAACATGAAAGTTTTTCTTGTAATTTTTAAAAGTGTACATTGGTGGTCTGCATGTATGTATGTCTGTCTGTCAGTGTCAGGTCCCCTGGAACTGGAATTACAGACAGTCGTAAGTTGCTCTGTGGCTGCTGGAACTGAACTGGGTCCTTTGGAAGAGCAACCAGTACTGTCCCGGGTCCTGAGCCATCTCTCCATCCCCCGGAATCTTTTCTATTAACTTGTAGTTTCTTATAATGAAGAGCATGCTTAGTTTTATCGAGACAGGGTTTTATACAACTGACTTCAGACTTGCTGTCACCAAGGATGACCTTGAACTGATTCTCCTGCCTCTACCTCCTGAGTGCTGGGACTCAAACCTAGGCTTCCTGCATGCTAGACAAACATTCTGCCAGCGGAGCCACACCCTTATAGGCATCTTTCCCTTTGCCATTTGAAAAATTTCCAAGTTAAAGCTGAGCAGCAGAGGAAGTGGTGACAGATGGCAGTGACTGCTGTTGGTGACAGCTCCCTTCACCTGGTGTCACCTGCGCGCACGCTGTAGTAACTGACAAGTGCGTCTGGCCGCTGTGCTTTGGTTTGCGCGTTTTTACCTAGCAGCTCACTGCGTCCTGGGGCCACTGTATGTGTGCAGCCGGCACTCCCCATGCTTGGGAGGGATTAGCACAGACCACAGCACACGGTGACCTTTTCAGGGTTTATTTCATCTGCTAATGTTCATTCTCCACCTAGACAAAGACAATTAGAAGACAACCAGTTGCTTTTCCATCATCAAATCATTGCTCTGTACGAATAACCGAAAGATTCCTTCTCCACACTTTTTATTTTTTAATAAGAAGCTATAAATAAATAAAGCTTTAAAGCTCCCGGGTTCAAGTGGAAGAGTTTCCAGTTCAGACGCGTTGCCTGGACAGTTGTGTGGTCCCCCGCTTCCCACTCCAGGAGCGAGCATCTGCGGGGCAGCAGGGTGCCTTGGGACCGAGTTATTAGCTTGCTGCACTGGCCTTTCAGCCCCAGGAGATGCCCCTGGGTGGGCAGAGTCCCTGGAGCTGTAGGGGCGGGGAAGCACCCTGTTCTGAGATGCTGTCAAGTACCAGGAAGCTGTGCCCCAAAGCTGCTGTCTTGAGCCTTAGGCAGGGGTGGACAGTCAAGGGACTGAGGATTCCTCAGCTGGCGCTGGCCTGAGATGGGAGGGACTAGTTTTCAAATGCAGCAGCGACAGACAAGTGACCCGTGCTTCTGGCCAGGGTGGCGGGGCGTTAAGTTAAAACTATTCCAATATGTATAGAATGGGGAGTGGTGGAGAGGGGCTGTGTGGAGCTGGGGTACTTCCCGACAGGAGCTGGCAGCAACCAGCATGACCTGTGAAAGTCCCCAGGGCTCCCCGGAGATGCCCCACGCTCCTCTGAGAAGTATATTTGCTCTAAACCCAGCATCTGAGCCCATCCCTCACGCGGTGACCTTGACCTCCTAACTCATCTTGCTACCCACCCCCTCCGTGTGGTCATGCACCAGGAAGGTGGCCCTGGGCTGGGCTGGGCAGTGCCCACTAGAACTCATCTTGCCTGTGGACCCCAAGGGCAAGTGCCTGGTGCCAGAGTGTAGGCTCTATATTACACACACGTGAAGATTAAGCCATTGCTCTGGGGTAGCAGCTACGCCTGCCCACATCTATTATATTGCTATGCTACATATGGCACCCACTCTTGTCTGTGGTGACCCACCCTTTCTTAGCCTGAGTGCTGAGTGAGATGGAGACAGGGAGTAGCCCCCCCCCCCACCTCTGCCCTGCCTCAGGGTCAGCTCACAACCCTTGTCTGCATGCATATGGACTGAAAACACCATGCCACCTCCAGTGAGTGGTGGGCCCGCAGGCCTCCTAGAGAACACAAGGGATAGGGCACCAGGCAAGTGCTTAAAAACAGATACTCAACATGGCTTCTAGTAGGGTCACTGGCTGGCCCATGGGGCTGCCGCACGTAAGCCTGGTCAGACTTTGAAGGGCAGGAAGATGCAGGGAGAGCCAGGGCAGGGAGGGTTGTGCATACAGGCCCTAGAAAGGGCATTCAGAGCTGTTCCTTTTAACCTGAGCTGAGGCCGTTCAGTGTCAGCTCAGGTCGGTGTGGCCCTGTATCCCAGCCAGTGGATGCTGGTATGGTGAGGACAGTGACACATGAGCCCTTGTATAAACGTCCCAGGGTGGGTCAGAGAGCACAGGGATGGATGGGGGGAATCTCTCGGTGTCCATCTCTATCCTGCCTGAGCCTGGCTCCCCAGGGCCAGGATGGGCTGTGGATTTTGATCATGGCCCAGAAGAGTGCAGCGGCTGGGTACCAGACTTGAGTCTTTTCTGCAATAGCTGGGGCTGGCCCTAACCTTGGAAGCAGCTTTGATGGGGGCGGGGGGGGGGGGGAAACTCCAGGTCTGAGGATGTCTCAGAGATAAGCTTATATTCTCAAGAAAAACGCTCCCCAAGATTCTGGGTTATTAGGGTCCCCAGAGGCCAAGGAGCTTTAGAGGAACTATTAGGAGCTAGTCATGTGTTTGTTCCTAGAAGGGCTGGTCATCCGGGCCAGTGCGTGCATAGTAGGCGTGCGTGCGACTCGCGGCTGAGCAGACTTGTCCCCTGGGCAGTCTTTTTCAAATCTTCATCAGTTTAAAGTGTGACACGGGGGCGCTGTGGGGAGGGGGGGCAGGAGAGTAAGGAGGCCACCTGCCTCAGACAGAGGTCCCACCCTGCCCGTCAAGGTCTAGGGTACCCTACTAGCACGCTTCCCTCCACACCAGACAGCAAGAACTGTTGGCCCCATTTCTTTCCCCGTTAAATCCTGCCCATCACTCTCTGCACCTGCCACCACTACCACTTCTCGATGATATGGCTCATGTAGTCCTCGGTGGGCACGCGGCCAGGTTCTTCCGCGTCCTCCCGTGGCAGCGCCTCCTTGGAGCGGTGCAGGAGGCGCTCTTCGCGACTGCGCAGGCGCTGCTCCCTGCGCTCCAGCTGCCGCTTGTACTGGTAACGCTGCTGGAAGAGGTCCTTGGCATAGTCATAGAGCTGCATGTCCAGGTCGTTGAGCTCCTCGATGTGCCGGATAGTGCCCTCATCCACCTCCACGCCGCCCGCCCGCGTGCTGTTGTACTGCATGAAGGGCCGGATGAACTTGAGGTTGAACGTCCGCTCAAACAGGTACTGCGTCTTGCGTTGGAACTCGGTGAGGCCGAAGAAGGCCATGCCGCGCAGGTTCTTCTTGGCACTCTCCAGCAGCAGCTGGGCCCGCTTGCTCTCGGGGATGAAGGACAGGTTGTAGCAGCCCACCAGGCTGAGGTCGGCCAGCATGCGCACCTGCCGGTTGTTGGCCAGGTTGTAGGGGCAATCCATGAACTCCTGCAGCGTGCAGCCTGACCAGTCTGTGCCCTCGTAGCAGGGCGGCAGCTCCTCTGGGGTTGGCGTGCGCCCATCGCACATGTGCAGTGAGGTCTTCCACGTGGCTCCACGCTGCACATGTCGCCACTCACTCAGGTAGCGGGATACTGGGTCTCGCAGCAGGGTGATGTAGTAGAACTTCCTACAATGAGAAGGGGGTTAGAGCTCAGTACTGTGCGTGGAAGAGGGGTGGGGGGGGGCGGAAATCGAGCTGTGCCTGCTGTGACGAGTGTGGCTCTTCAGCCTGGTCCTTTGGGCAAGTGACACTTGCCGATTCCAGTTTAGAGCACAAGCTCTCAGCTCTAGCACTCATTTCTGAGTAGAGAACCCTGTGGTCTGAGGGAAGGAACTTGCCAAGGGCATGATGCCTTCCAAGACAGAATGACACTTAGCGCCTTGCCCCAGTCCCCAGCAGCTGCCACGGGGTATCCTGAAAGCCACAGGAGTCACAGTTGTGACAAGAGGGCTGGCCCTTCACTATAAGCAGAGGCTGCAGAGGAAGCCCCCACAGTAGCTCTTGGGTCCTCCAGTGTCTTGTACCCTGGAGCTCCCGAGGGCTGACAAGATGCTGGAAGGAGGTAGGTCAGATGGTAGCTGCAGCCCTGAGAGGCTGGAACTGAGTGAGGCCCACCTGGCCTGTGCTTGGGACCTACACACCTTGTTGTGTGGTGGCCTCTGCCCTCCGCCAGCCTTTTGTGTCTTTGGTGTCTGACGCCCATCAGTACTGAGCAGATGGTAGCTCTCGGGTCAGGCTGTGGCACATGGACAGGCCTGCCTTCTTCCAGGATGAGTCCTGTGCAGCTGGAAAGCCAGCCCCCAGGCCTGTTTACTCACCCCAAGAGTCTACCACAGCCCATGCCACGGCTCGCGTCACCCCAACTTCAGAAGCAGGCCAGGCACCCTGGGAAGTCCCACCATCCCCTCTGCTGAAGTGCGACAACGCCTTTCCGCCTCGTAGGGTTATTGTAGGACTGGTGTCAGAGGCCAGGTTTACTCACTGACTATAATAACAATGTTTATCAAGTTTTCAGAAATAAAAATCCTGGGGTCAGAGAGATGGATCAGTGGCTAAAAGCATTTGCTGTTCTTCTAGAGGACCCAAGTTCAGTCCCCAGGACTCCTGTTAGGTGGCACGTGACTGCCATTAACCCTGATTCTGGGAGTCCTGAGAGCCTCCTCTGGTAACCCACCCACACAGGTACCCGTATGTACTGAGACAAATGCATACACGTAAATAACAAAATAAATCTTTAAAGAAATTCCCAGAAACTATCCTTAGTGATAGGTGCTTATGTTGAAATGATTGTAAGAGATTTCACTGTAGTGAGATGTACACTTGGGAATTCAAGACAGAGGCTAGAGCTGGTGTGTTTCAGGTGGAGGCCCAGAGTATTTATAGTGGCCCTAGGACACCATCCTCATGGGACGCCCTCAGGACAGCAAGGGCACAGGTCTTCACTACTGAGTTATTTTTCAGTCATGATACAAGTTCTTATGTGCGCCAAACACTTCAGGAAAAAAAGAGAAGGAAGCAGGCAAGAGAGACGGCTTAAGAATGCTTGCTGTCCTTGCAGCGAACCTGATCAGTTCCTAATACCAATTTCCTGGCTAACAGCCAGCCCCAGCTCCAGGGGTCCTGGTACCCTCTCTTGGTATCAGTGGACACCCACACATAAATATAAAAAAAAACCAAAACAAACAAACAAAAAAGACAGGAGTTCGAGGACAGTCGGGTCTATAGAAAGAGAATTAGTTCCAGGTCAGCCAGAGCTGTTACACAGAGAAACCTTGTCTTGGAAGAAAGGAAGGAGGGGAGGAAGGAAGGAAGGAAGACAGGCTGGAGTGGAGAGATGCTCAGTGGTTATGAGCATATATAGCTCTTCCAGAGGACTTGAATTCAGTTCCCAGCACCCACATCAGGTGGCTTACAAACTGCCTCTTGTTTCTGGCCTACAACATGTACGCACGGATGCACGCACGCACCCCCTCCCACCCCCACACACATGCACCCATACACATGTCACATGCTCTCTTGAAAGGAACCGAGTTCCAGCATCTGGATGATGGTTGGCTTTGCCACAGGGAGCTTTGGGGATGTGCTCAGAGGGCTCTGCTCTCAGGGACTCCCTGACAGGTGGCGGGCCACTTGTGCTGTTGTGAGCACAGTGCACTCCATAGTCCTAGCCTGTGAGGTGTGTCCACGGTACACGGACCTCGAGGGCACATCTCTGGATACATACTCTACACACTGGCAAGTGTAGGGCTCAGCAGACTGGGGCATGTGGTGGCCACCCGAATGACAGGGAGGTAAGAGGCTTTTCTATACCATTGGCTGCAACCACGAAGCCACAGCCAGGCCCCCAGGTGGGACCTGGCAGCAATAATGTGCCATGGAGCCCTCTTGGGACAGCACCTCTGCAGTTAAAGGCTGCAATTTAAGGTTTCCAGGCCAGGCCCTGCTTATCTTGTAATTCTGGGAAAGTTGGTCTGTTCCCACCAACCGAGGTCGTTCTAGGCAGCTGACACTGCCCCGGGGCCATGGGGTGGGGTGGGAGGGGCCAGAAGACCGAGACCATCCTTTCCTTCCTTGTAGCCCAGCCCACACCATGCTTGGGCGGACCATCACTGCAAACTCCAGCCCCCACACTCCCAGCTTCCTGGTGCCACCCAGGATCTGCTGGGGGTGACCCCTGGTGGGACTAAAGGGAAATAGTAAGCTTTAATATTAGTATGACTGGCAAGCTTACTTAGGAGATATTAAGGGATACCCGGATTAAGAGCATGCAGAAAAGGAACCCCGCCTCTGCTGAGACAGCAGAGGGAAGTCCACCCTGTTGCCTTCTGCCTGTGTGAACCTGCTTGCTTGACCTTTCTCTTTTCTGTGTGTGTTTTCTTGTTGTTTGTCGTGTTTTTCGAGACGGGGTTTCTATGTGGCTTTGGAGGCTGTCCTGGAACTAACTCTTGTAGACCAGGCTGGTCTTGAACTCACAGGGCTCCACCTGCCTCTGCCTCCCTTTTCTGAAAGCAGTATCTTTTCCCTTGAACAATGACCACCACCCATACCCACTGACAGCAGGTTCTTCTAACTAGAAGCCTGCAAATCTCAGCAAAACTCACTTAGCTCTGGGAAAAATCACCTCCGGAAAAGTCATGAAGGCTCAGTGGTCATTTAGACACAACTATGATGATGTTTACCTCTGTACAGACCATGAAATACTTCTGACTGATGCTGGGTCTCTTTAAGTAACAGCTAGAGGCTGCAGGTGAGAGCTAATTAGAGTTTTGCCCTTATCTCCAAGGACAGAATTCCTCACTGGAGAAGGGCGAGCTCCCTTAATAGGATCCGGGGGTCACTGTGTGAAGGCTACTCAAATCTCTACAGAAATACTCGATGGACACGAAAGGGCAGTACCTGGCCTGGCAGCAGCCATATTGACACCTATCCACCGAGGAGTTGTCAAGGATTCAGAAGGAACACTGGTTCCTAACTAGTACTGAGTTCTCCAGCCTGGGCAGGTAGGTCCAACGATATGAATTGCCAGCTCTGATGGTAGTCAGTCCCTGGGCCTCGGCGGCAGTCCCAAACAGAGCAGGGCAGAGAGGCTTCTTAGAGGGCTGTGGGCATATGGTTTTGATGTCGAGGGGCCTGTGGTGAAGACCAGAGATGAAGGCAAGGCCACGGCACAGAGTCGCTTTCTAGGTTATAGAAGAACCAGGAGGGCTTGCTGTACGATTATGAGAATTCAAGTCTGAATCCCTAGTACCTACATTAAAAGCCAGGCGTGGCAGCATACACGTATAATTCCAGCACTGGGGTCATGTGCTGGAATGGGAGAGAGACAGGTAGAGCCCAGGGCTTGTGAGGCAGCCCGTCTAGCCGAAAGGATGAGGGGCCCTATCTTAAAATGTGATCGTGTCAAACTCTGGCCTCCACATGTCCCATGCAGCTGAGAACACCAGCACTTACCGTGATGTGGTTGGGGGTGTTGGAAAGGGACCAAGGGAGAATTAGAGGCGAGGCTGGAGATGTGGCTCTGGGTAAATTCTTTGCCAGTTGAGGACTATAGGACTATCCATAGATCACCAAAACCCACACAGAAAAGTCATAGGCCAGGCCACCTGTGACCCAGCTCTTGAGAGGTGGGTACAGGAGACCCCTGAGGTCAGCTAAATCAGCCAGTCTGTGAGCTCAGGGTTCAACTGACAGACTTTGTCTTAACAGATGGAGAGAGAGAGACAGAGATCAATGAAGACGCCGGATGCCAACTGGAGGCTTACACACACGTGTACACACCAGCAAGCAAGCACGCACGCATGCACACACAGAGACACGTTGCATGCACCCACAACAAACAAGGCTCCCTTTGCCTCAGTCTTCAAAGAAAAGTAACCCAAATGTTTTGAGGCCAGCCGGCGGTTAGGTAAGACCGAATTCCAGGGTTAGAGTGCATGATACCTCCTATTGCCCCTGTGGGGACAGAGCAAACCAGGATCTGACCCCGAAGCAATTCAGGCAACTCTCACAATAATCACAAATGATTGGGGACTGGGCCTCTGCTGAAAGCCATGAGGAATAACAAACCCCAACAGGTCCTAAATCTAATTCCAAGAGCTGGATGAGGGCTGGGAGAAATCAGAAAAGGGGGAAGTGAATTGGGTAACAGCTTAGGGGTGACCCACTGTGTTTACATTTCTGAATGAATATTGAAGTCTTGACTCAGATTTCACTGCGGAGATGACAGGTACTTGCTACCATGTCTTATTTACATATAAACCCCAGCACTACTGACCTAGGAGTCCAGCAGCAGGAAGCAACAAGCTCTTGTCTTTATAGGCTGCCCTCCGGTCCTATAACTCCTCTAATCAGTTTAACCCTGCCCCTCTTATCTAGAGATAAGGTAGGTTGTTGACAATTTAAGTTAGTCTCTAGCCCAGACTGGCTTCAAACTCCCTATGCAGCTACAGATGGCCTTGAACTGACCCTGCCCCCCATGCTGGAATTCGTGTATCACTACATCTGGTTTATAGGGTGCTGGGCACTGAACCCACACTCTTCTGCATGCTAGGCAGGCACCTCATCAACCGAGCCACACCCCAAGCCTTCTGGCAGTTTTCACTGAAAAGACACTCAGGGTTGGTAGA